AAATCACACCATTGTGCTCTAGCCTGGGTGACAGAGCGAGACTCTGTTCTCAAAAAAAAAAAAAAAAGCTGGGTGCAGCTGTGTGTACTTGTAGTCCCAGCTCCTGGGGAGGTTGAGGTGGGAGAATCACTTGAAACCAGGAGTTGAGTCCAGCCTGGGCAACAGAGTGAGCCTCTGTCTCTAAAATACACACAAACACTCAGACACTCCTACTTGGGGAAGCAGGAACCAGTTTGCTTTTCAAAGTTAGCAGTGAACCAAAGCACAGTTCCTAAGAGAGTTTCAAGCTAAAGCAGGACTTCCATATTGTGGTTTTGAGCCAGCCCTTCCTTCCCCAGCCCCTTGTCGCCCAGTAAATCAACTTAGGGATTATTAAGACAGCAGCACAAGCTTAAATGGCAACAATCCACACATCTGCTTCAACTTCTGAAACCCAACATTTGTACTAGGCTTTTGTGTTAAAAAAAAAAAAATCATTTGACATTTCTGATTGTTGTGAGAACTATCTTGCTTAGTAAAAATTTTGAGGTAGGTGACTAGAGACATTGTATTAGTGTGTTCTCACAGTGCTATAAAGAACTACCTGAGACTGGGTAATTGATGAAGAAAACAGGTTGAATTAACTCACAGTTCCACAGGCTTAACATGAAACATGACTGGGAGGCCTCAGGAAACTTACAATCATGGTGGAAGGCAAAGGGGAAGTAGGCACATCTTCACATGATGGCAGGAGACAGAGAGAAAAGGAGTAAGTGCTACACAATTTTAAACAACTAACTCTCCTGAGAACTCACTCATTATCACAAGAACAGCAAGAGGGAAATCTACCCCCATGATCCAATCACCTCCTACTGGGTCCCCCCTGCAACAGTGGGGATTACAATTCAATGTGCTATTTGGGTGGGGACAGAGTCAAACCACATCAGAGATCTTATTTTGGTATTAAGAAAATCCATATAAAACTGATAAATAGTAGTGTCTTGTTAGCCTACCCTTCTCAGTCTCACCTACCAGAAAGGCCTCCTGAGAATGGCTGCAGAGGGCGAGTGTCTTCTTACTCCTTCCTTATTCTTGCAAAGCAGTGCTCTCTCTCTCTTCTCTGCACACCTAAGCTTGAAACTCTTTAAAGCCAGGGAAATAATCTTATGTTCGTATTTCCTGATTTAGCTTGGCACAATGCCCTACGATCAAGTGCTTGCTTATTTTTCAATTGGGAGTGTCTTTTACATAGGAAGATAAAAATACAGAATTCTGACGCTAAGTAACTGCTTACATAGGGATACTTCCGAGACCAAGGAGCCTAACTAAACAAGAATGTAAACGTGGCTTCCTATGTTCATTAGCTCTATTATTGGTAACACTTTTTCAGACTGAACCATTTTATTAGAACAAGGCTTCTATTCAGAAAAAGCTGCTTAGAATCCTCTTTGCTTAATAAGTGAGGTCAAATGATATTAAGATATAAAAAATGAGCCTGCAGAATCCTCTTCTATTTCTAGTCAACACTGTCATCAATCCACACACAATTAAACAGATAGGAACAATTTATAGGCGTTATCTTCCAATTGCAACAATTCCCATTGGTAACAGAACTGAAATGCTAACCACTTGGCAGACTTCACTGAAAAAAATTTCAGGTTGGGCAGTTGGGATAAAATCATGACTCAACACTTGCCAAATCCACCCTCATTTACCTACTCGCAGCATTACCTCCCCCAAATAGTTCCTCAAATAAAAAACCAGATGAGTCAAATCCCAAAACCACTTGGCTGGAGTAACCAAGTTTGGGGGTATGAGCCACAGACCAGAGACACTGGTTATCTGCTCTTCTATTTTCTTGATGGGTAGCAGATGTGCTCTTGCCAACCAGCTATGCAAAGAGCTGATAGTGAGCACAAGACATTCCAGAAAACGGCTTGAGCAGCAGGTCTTTGGAATAATAGTTCTATCAGTACAAAACCACTGCAGCGTAGAACCAACCACAACTACAGATTCATCTGTCCTGAATATATATTTTGCAGTTTCTTGCATAACTTACCAAAAATTAAAACCTTATGTTTGGCAAGTTGTATCCAATCCATCAATCCTCTGTGGTTATTGCTACCATGTCTTCCTTCTTTCACTGATAAACCATTCTCTTCCTTCTTTAGGAGAAAGTCCAAGTTTGATATATTAGAGACCCTGGCCTATTGCCCTACTTGGGATGTTATTTGATGGGCAAAGTGGGGTGGCTATAATGAAATATATTTGAAAAAGGTAAAACTAAGTTTTAAATCGTTTCCTATAAGCAGGACTGCTCAGACTCTTTATAATAATAATGTACATAAGTTTCCAAGGGGTAGGGGAATAAAGTACATAGTATGTGCAAAGCTTATTTCTCATACCATTTTCATGGAACACTTTGTGGGATAAGGGTTTGATGGAACACACTGGGAAGTCCTGGGTTAGGTACATGTTGGTTTTTATAGGCGGGCATGGTCCTTGACTTGTTAAGACGTATTCTATGAAAAAAATCATGTTATGAGCTTGAAACAGTCTGCTAAGAAACAAACTTGCAAAACACAACCAAATGACATGCATTCATCTCCAGCCACTGGCTATTTGTGCTTTTGAGCGATTTTTCCTAGATGGCACACAAACTGCAAACAAAATCATTTCCATTTTTTCAGATTTTAAAAAATCCCAGAAGCTCAAACACCTGAAAAATGCTACTCCTAAAGCATACAGTTATGTATCAATAATCCATATACATTTATTTGTAAGGTACAATTTCTAAAATGTTTTCTACATCTAAAAATGTATGAATAAAGACCATGAAATTTAGATTTGGATTTAAATCCTGTCATTTAGCAGGTGTGAGGCACTAAAACTATTAATATGTAAGTGACCAAGAGCATTTTCCTCACTTACAAAGTGTAGATAAGAATGCTTGCTTTGTGTGGCGGTTTTGAGGATTAGATGTAAGGGACTGAGCACAATGCCACTACGACTAAAAAAACTACTCTGCCACAACGTAATCCATGATCCACTCCTGGTATCCAGAACACTTGGTCAATGGATTATGGTCTTGAGATAGTTAAGTAACAATAAAACAAAATCCACACACACGCAATTGTCATATTATTGTATTTTATTACAGTATGTGTAGTGTATACTAACTTAAAGGGAAAAAAATGTAAACAAAATGAAAGTCATGGGGAAAATGGCATCTTGCTTTAATCTTCAACTGAAAGCTACCTTTAACAATCCATGTATACCATTATGTCAAATTTTAGTCTTCTCTGCAGAATTTTAGACAAATGAAAATGGACAACGTAACACCAAAGAGTTAAGCACAGAAAGTGATACTGATCAAAAAGCTGAAAGTAAAATCTACCTTGGCTAGAACTGAACATTCAGATCTGTCTCTCCAGAGGAAAATCTAACTTGAATCATAACGGTTCATATTTTGACTAGTTCATACCCTATCAATTAGCTACTTATGACTTGAACATACCTTTTCTCAGCTGCACCTGACAACCTAAAACCCCACTGGGCAATGCTGCTTGGCATGTCTTACTCCTCTGAAATCATCTACTTTCTAAAAACCAGAAAACGAGTTCGCTTGTGATTTAAATTTCAAAAAATAGTTGGTAGAAAACACAAAAAGAATCAACTGTTTAAAGTCTTATCCTTTCCTTCACTCTACAACAGCTACTTCTACAAAAAAAAAGAGTATGTGGATACTTTCTAAGAACTCAGAAACAAGAAAACCAAAATCAGAGGGTGCATGAATATATGTGCACTTATACAGACTGAATCGCTAATCCCCCAAGACAGATTTAAACAGGTAATCCCAACATTCCAAATTCAGAAAGCAGAGATAAACAGTTTTGTTTCTAAATCAGTGGTATTACTAGCTGAAATGTTTAGTAGAATACTGCACTTATAGTTCAGCAGTACTTTGATTATATGTCATTTAAAAAATCAAAATAATAACCATATTCCTCTAACAGCAAAGAATTCTCCCACTTTTTATTCTGAAACACTGGTATTTCCATAAACCTGCAAGTGGAAGATAAGCTGTTCAATAAAAGCCTTCATATATATGCATATATATACATATATATATAAAAAATACAGACATTATTTTAGAAGTCTGTTCTGTTCATATAACAGATTATTTTGGTACTAACAAAAATTGTATACAATCCATCAATTGTATGGCTAGAAATGAAACCATCACTAAACCAAGACACACAGGGCTTTCCTGCACTTTGTTTAAGGAAAAAATTCCACATAATTCTTACTGTGTTAGAAGAATAAAGTACATTTGTCATAGTATACATTATCGTATTCCCTTAAAGCAGGGACTATTTAAAGTTTTTAAATTAAACAATGTCCAGGCTTACTTCTGTCTGTACATTCAGGAATAATCATGTCACTGGTTACATACAATTCTCATGCAAAAAAAAAACCCTCAAAAAACAAACCACCCCTCAGTTGTTTTCTTAAGTCTAATTAAGCCAAACTAATAATAGCAATTTAATTAGTAAGCTGTAAATCAGAGAGGTATAGAAATTCAGCAGTTAAACTGTTATTTCCTGCCTATAGTGCTGCTGCTACTCAATCTATTTTCTTCACGTTTAGAAGAATTCATAGGCATCGATGGTCAAAGTAAGAATTTCAACATTGCAGCAAACAACAGAAGAGTGACAAAGTCCCTAATGTCGTGACAATCTTAATGACCTTTAAAAGGTAAAGGATTGTGTGCGTGTGTGTGGAAAGGACTCTAGGAAATAAAAGGTAAAGGACTGTGTGCGTATGTGTAGAAAGGAGTAGGAAATAAAAGCAGGAGGTTAAGACCGGTATTTAAAGGGAATGGTGAGATAGCTACATTAGAATATTTATTTTTTAAAAAACTGCTCTGAAGTCTGCCCAGTGTACCAAAAACGTTAAAAAAAAAAAAAAAAAGAAAGAAAGAAAGAAACCCAAAAAACAAAAAACAGAGCAGACATTGGTGAAAGTTTAACCTGATAATTTATTTGTGGGGAAAAAAGCTAGTTTTGATGAGAAAAAGTTCAGTCCTTTCCTTGTAAATACAAAGAAACTCAACAGGAATTTTAAAGGTAGTAGGCCAGAAAATGCGACAGTAACTCTTATAATTCTTTTCAATTAAACAGATAAATCAAGTTGAAGACGAGTGTTAAAATACTATTCAGCCTGAATATTTATCAGTCTATATATCCTGTTGTTCAATTGGCTTTTGATTTAAAAAAAACAACAGATCAACAAACTTTATAAGAGCTACCACCACAGTTAAGAGTGATGAAAATAAATTAGTCCCCCCCCCGCAAAGATACTGTTTAACTTCTAAAGCATAAAAAGCTATATATCTTATACAAATTAACCAGTGTTTTTACAAAAGTAATGCAGTTTTGGACTGATGATATTACACTGTATTTGTGGTAAAGTACTAGGCACAAGAATATATATATCAATTAGGCATTTTCAGTCTAATCAGTCTCTAAGTTTATCATTTAATTCTTGGCAATATATAATAACTGGTATGCATTTTGGTACTTAAGTCATGAATTGTGGAAAGCAAGAAGCAATGTATTACAGTCACAGGGTTTATATCTAACAAACAATTGCAGTGTTGAACAAATCTCTTCTATGAACTTCGTAATTTGTTTTGCTGTTGGTCACTTGGAGTAGATCCTGCAAAGATAAAAGAAAAAGTCAACATAAATTGTTATATTTTGTCAACCCCGGCTAAAGTTCCCTTCTACTAGCATGCGTGATAAGCAAATATAAAAATTTTAAAAACAAATAAGGTGTACTTCATGTAGGCTGATTTAGACTGAAATAGAAGAATCTATATACTCCCCTAAATAGTCTAAAGAACAGAAGTGTCTACTTTCTGATAAACAGGTTTCAGATTGAACATTTCTGTAAATCACAGTTGGAAAGGTAAGAGTTTACGACAACTCAAATGTCCAGAGCTATAAAAAGGTATATATTTATTACCTCAAAGGTATGAAATATCGCCTAAGAGTCCAAACATGTCATTTTTCTCCAATGAATTGTGTGAATGGGGGAAGAAGCGGGGAAGGGAGGAGACTGACATTGCCCAAAAACTAATGGGTTCTATAGAGAGATCTTAAAAGCTGGTAAAATGTTAAGGGCCCAAAAAGGGTAGGGGATAAATAAGGTACTTATTTCCCTAAGTCTTATCCTATTCTTGTGGGTTTTGTAATGCTAAGCAGGATATACTCCTTTGCAAGGTGTACTTCATCTCCAGTTAAGAAAAATCAGGCACTGAGCTAATACAAAATTTTAATCCTCCATTAAACTTAAACAAAAAAATATATTTATGTACTAAATGTGTGAAATGTAATATCTTATAAGCGGAGACGGACAAAATGCCATAGTTATTTTTCCAAAGAAATGGCGTTAAACAAAAAACCCTACCTCTGTAACAAAAAATAAAATAAAAATGAAAATGGATAATAGAAACATACAACAGCTACTACTTAAGATGAAATTTGCTCAAATTAATATAAGTTAAACAGACGATGGAGTATATAATGGAAATGAAAGGCTATATGAAATAGACTAAAAGGCTGAAGCATATTATGGAATAACAAAAAGTATTGTGACCCTGACACTATGAGACAGTGACTCATCAGGCTGTATCATAGAATTATTCATATTTCATACAATGCTTACCAAAATGGTAATATAATAATAATTTAATTTCCTAAGACTTAACCACTCTGGGCACCACAAATAAAATGTTACACCTCCACTGAAAAGTATGAAGTTTGTAAGTACAAGGAGTAGATAGTGGGCACAAAAATTTTCATTAGTGGTGCAGAAGATTCACCTTCATTAAATACCAGAATGATGGTTCATAAAAGTTAAGTAAAGCCTATTTCCTAGGACAGATTAGGAGTTGCTAGGCTGCAGGGGCTGGGTGTCTAAGACTGAAAAAATAAAAACAAAACCAAAAACAGTTAAATAACTGTGAATCCAATAGTCAAAAGAATCCACATTAGAAAGATATGACATATTTTGTACCTAAAAGGATGTAAAAACAAATATTCCATACTAAAAACATGCTTCATTTAAAAAATTTTAAACGTTAGATCGTTATGACAAATACAACATGACCTAAAACATTCAAAACAAAATATAGCCTAATATGAAGACAAACATCCTGGCCTAAAGGCAAGTAAACCATAAGAAAGCCATATAATAAAACATGGTCTAAAATCAAATCAACTCTGGGTATAAAAACTTTATTATTCTGAAATTGGCCATGGGGTTTAAAATTTTAGAAGTATTTGGTATAATAAAGTGAATCTCAGCAAAATTTTGTTTTTTCACAAGTTTAAAGCAAAATAAAGTCTATGATCTTAGACACAGAGCATCACAAAAGTCTCAGTGACATTTTCCAAACATCTGACCTTGATTTGATTCTTCCGGATTCATGCTTTCTGCATCTGCAGTCTCTAACATTTCTTCGTCTTCATCATCATGTAGGTCTTTTGAAATTAACTGTCTAGCTAGTTTGATATTGAGTCCTTCATTGTAGTGAAGCTTCCTTTTCATTTCAAATTGTCGCTTTTTTTCTATAAGATGAAAAATGTAAACTTAGGAAGTTTGATCTCAAGGATTGGCCCACACCTGTTTTATAAATAAAATTTTATTGAAACAGTCATGCTCATTTGTTTTTGTCATGCTTAAGGTTGCTTTTGTGTTCAATGGCAGAATTGAGTAGTTCGTAATAGAGACCACTGGACCTGCAAAATTTAAAATATTTACTATCTGGCATTCATCTCGATGGAAAAACAGGAATATATCCAGCCATTAGAAATTGTATTTGTGAAGAAAGATTAAAGCTATGGGAAAATCATCCAGAAAGAGTTAAATGGTGAAAAAAAAAAACGAGTTACAACACCATATACTATATTTATTATGTACAATGCCTGTCACATACACACACACAGAGAAAAATAAGACTCAGCAATTAACAGTGGTTAACTCTGAGTCAAGGAACAATGAAGTAGTTTTAATATTTTATTATCTTCTATTATTATAATTAAGAAAAAATCTTTTAAAACAATTCTTACCTGTTAAGAAAGTGCCATGATTTAAGACATTGCTGGCTAAAAACATAACCTCATTTTCAGAGTAATTTTAAGAAAAACCTATTATAAAGTAATGATGAAGTGACTCCAAATTATTCTTTCATTCTAGTCTTCACCATAGAAACATAAAGCTGGCAGCAATTCAACACAACTGATCACATTTTATTAATAGTTGCTCTTTAAAGAGGAACTATTTATGAATACATCATTTTAAGGTTTTTAACTTCCTTAGATCAGAAAATTAAAAAAAAAAAAAAAAGCAACAACAGAAAAGGGGGGGCCAATATAAAACTGCCAGCTATTTAAAATCATTCACCGTTGTTTTATTTTTTTCTTTTTTTCTCGATGGAGTTTCACTCATTGCTCAGGCTGGAGTGCAATGGCGCGATCTTGGCTCACTGCAACCTTAGCCTCCTGGGTTTAAGTGATTCTCCTGCCTCAGCCTCCCGAGTAGCTGGGATCACAGGCATGCGCCACCACTCCTGGCTAATTTTTGTGTTTTAGTAGAGATGGGGTTTCACCATGTTGGCCAGGCTGGTCTCAAACTCCTGACCTCAGGTGATCCACCTGCCTTGGCCTCCCAAAGTGCTGGGAT